TAAGCATCTCCTGGAAGGTATATTTAAGAGTTCTGCTTTTAGATCTCTCTCATAGTTGTCTTTAAGGAAGTGCACACTGCAAACTGTTGCATTTTCAACATTGACTTTTTGTCCTCTCGTTTGCAGGCATGAATCAACTTACTTCTAAGAGTAGGATGCTTTGGGAAAGAATGATAAATTACATTATTTCCTTTTGTCTTTTGATTGTAATTTTCACACATAACAGTTTGGCATTATTCAACTTGATCAATGAACACTAACTGAAAAATTCACATGTCAACACACTACTATTTAACAGATACTTTGAAAATATTAAATTTCATCTTATATTCTCCTTGTATTCCGAACACCCATCAAAACTTAATTTCAAATGTAAACAAACAAAGATCACCACGGTATGTCGAAAGCTCACGTGTTTCTCGGAGCATGTTTTTCGATGGAGACGTCACGTGCACAACGATTAAAAGAAAAACCTACTGCACACGCAAAATGAGCACTCCCTGGCAGCCATTGTTACCTATGTACACACCTGCATTTGAAGTTACAAATACAATATAATGACAAAAAAGAATAGTACAGTACTATAGAATCTGTACAGTAGAAGTTACCGAAGTTACAATAGAAAGTAATATTTATATACATACAAATTACTTAAAAATAACTTTTATTCAACTTACTATAAATTTCACAATTTTTATGTGATTAATTGTACATGCCAAAAAAATGAAATCTTAACTGTTTTTTGTTAAAAAGTTAAAAAAATAGTATATTGAATTGAGTGTACACTATATACGTATAATGAAAGTCTTTATTTTTTATAATTTTTCTGTATTATTGTAAGTAGCTGTTACAAGTAAATCCCAAGCTTTGCATCCTCAAAATGTATACAATAGGCTTACAACTTATCAACTATTTGACTTTGACATTGATTGATATATATCAAGTTATAACATAACTAAACTAATAAAAAACGCGGAATTTCAAAAAGATGAATAGGTAAAGCTTACTTGGAAAACTTTCTTTAGAAAAAAATATCCAATACGGTTAAAATAAAATGGCGACCACGTGATTATTCCATTAAGTTAGAATTTGACGCTAAGCGAAATTTTCAGTGTTGCCAACTTAACGAATCTCGTACGTAATTTTTTTTTCTTTTTTGATAGTTCGGCTATCCAATTAATCAAAATTAATAAAATATATTAAGTATTAGTGAAATTTAATCGATAATTATTAAATTGTTTATGAATTAATTATTTACATGTTACAGCTTTTTCGATATCAGACGCTTTCTGTCGATTTAATCCGCTGCTAATGCTATTGCAAAAACATTTTATCAAATAGAATATATCCTTATATTAAATTGCTGATAATTTTTGCTTATATTGATTGCTCAATTATAAAATTCAAGTATTTTAAGTTAATTAGAAATTGTCAAAAGGTTCACTGTGAATTTCCATAAATTTCCGTTATAGGAGAGAATATCCCGATTTTCAGATATTCTCTCTTATTCGGTTCCTTCAGATTTTTTAATAAATCAAATACAAGAAATTCATCTTTGACTTTTTTAAATGAAGTTCTTGGTATGTCCTTCATTCTCGATAGTGAGCATAAAGAGAAATTATGCAGTTTCACTCAGAGAGATGATGTTGATGGCGTCATGTCTGTGAATTGGCATCAATAATCGGCCGACCCATATGGCCGTGGACCACTTCGGAACAACTTTTAAACTTACACTCACAACATACAGACATGACACAACACATAAAAAGCATAGACACCATCAAGCAATCGTGGGCTCGAAAGGCACTCCATGGCAGGCATCCTTACGGCCTGGCCCAGGATTTTGTTGACAAAACTGCGTCAAACAGCTGGTTAGATCGGGGATGCCTCTTTGGGGAGACGGAAGGATTCATGATTGCCATACAGGATCAGGTCATAAATACTAAAAACTACAGAAAACACATACTCAAAGATACAACACTCACAAATGACACATGCAGAAAATGTCACATCATGCCAGAAACTATA